CTAAGGTTTATCCAAAAAAGTCGCTAGGTTTGTCAGTATGAATATTCTACGAGAAAAAAACACTAAAAGGCTCTGAAAGTTGCTAAATCTAGTGCTAAAGTCACGCTCGTGTGTGTGAGACGCGGGAGCTGATGGCAGGGGGCGGTGGATATTTGTGGCGGTCAATGTGGATATTGTGGATGAGTTCTTCGGTGTTATCACGTTCTATTAGTTCTACAGCTTCAGTTTCGGAACTTTCACGCTTCGTAACACATACAGCTGTTCCCTCACCACAGTGAAAAGGGACCCCTTTCAAACAGTGTCGTGTTCCGAACGTTGTTTAAGCCACATAAACAACGGTTCCGAACGTTGTTTAAGCGACATAAACAACGGTATATATATATATTGCAGTATTTTAAAAATTCATATCATAACAAAAATAAACACCGGTATTCGGTATGAACCGGTATACCGCCCAGCACTACTAACAAACATCTAATCTTGTAAAATATGTGGTAAGTACTGCCGAGTGCTGCTCGCGAATCTCAAAAGTGAAAGTAAAAAACAAGCGTAACCGTAACATAACCGATTTCAATGCCCCCGCATATTAATAACGGCTCCCTGATGCCCGCAGTTTATATACAGTATAATTACCCAACAATATAATTGCGACAGAAGATATTGAAGTATATTTTTCCTCCCATCTCGTATCTATTCCCTTTAGGGATTAAATTTTCTGAAATGGAAATGTCCTAGCCTTATGAGCAGTTGATTTATGCTAATCGACGGACTGTTATGTTAATAAGTGCCGTCATTCGGTTATGTTTATTATATTAATATGTTTCAGCACGTTACAATCATTATATGGATTGAGTTAAGGTAGTCTATCTTCTGAATTAAACAGTTTATCACACAGATTGAAAGCGTGAATCCCGTCTCTCTCCATCTCTCTGTTTATGGGTGTTTGTGCGTGCTTGCAGGAAAGGGGTGCGATTTTCGAATAATAATCGAATAATACCCTGCGATTTTCTAATATTATTTTTGCTTGGAATGCCCATCCCTAGTAGTAGTAGTATTTTCAGTAGAGGTCATCTACTCTTGTCAGGACTTTACAGGATACGTAGCATTTCATTTTTTGATAGCGAAGTGGTTCCTTTGTGATTTATTTATGAATACATGCTTGGGACAATTAGCCAAATAAGAGCTGACCAGTCCTCATCATGTCCCTCATTAAATGTAATTATCTAATGATGTTCTGTAATCTTAGACCTTTTATGACACTCCCCTTTAATGAATATATTTCTAGGACATTGACCTCATAGACATCCTTTGGAGGCAGGATATTGACCTTGGTGCTGGCCGAGAAGTATTTAACTATAGCAGTCGACAGAAGGAGAGTGAGGCTGATAAACCTAATGAAGAGAACGAGGAGGCAGGTGGAAGAGAGGAAAGCTGCAGAAATTGACTTAATCTCTAAGCAGTGCAGAGCCTAACTCATGTTGATGGAGAGACAGGAGAGAGCATACCTACGGAGGTATGTGCTGTAATATGCTAGGATTACAGGAAGGTGTGAGGAGCACAGCAAGGTTTCGGTTAATAGTGCTTTTAGATTATTCAAAAAGGCTGGTAAGCTGTAGATGTTAAGTGAATTTGAGTCAGCCTTGGAATTACATGGACTTTTCTTGTTGTATTTCCTAGCTTACCAGTCTTGGTGCTCAGACTTCATTATCCCTGCAGGAATGTCTGAGGCTTCTGGAGGCCACCTTTCCATTTGGAGAAGAGCCAGAGGTAGCGACAGTAAAATTCATGCTACATTACAGATTAAAACTTGGCATTTTTTATTTGATTGTCATTTTACATTGTCTTTTTCTCTCTTTAGTTCCAAGCCACTGGATCCACCTCACAGCTTAGAGCTCCAACTGAAGAAACGCCATCAACATCACAAGGGATCCCCCTACAAGCCCCTCTGTCACAGTCTGACACACCACTAGACCTGGAGCAGCAGTGGCAGGACATAATGTCCATAATGGAACTGCAGGTTTGTGAATTTATTGCATTCAAAGTAGATGAAGGGAATATATATACCCAATACACTGCTCAGTGACAGTGGTTATAATAGTATCAAATTAAATATCATTTTTATATTATATATAGGATATTATAATTTTCCTTAAACCTTAAATTAGGGCTGAGCAATATGGCCAAAAAAATTATCACTATAACATTTTTCATATCAGTTGATACCGATTATTATCCCGATTAATTTCAAATCTTTATTTCTTTCAAGTTAAAAGGAAGATTTTTGCTCCTAAGTGAAAGTTGTAGAAACCAGACCATTAATTGTAGTTTTAAACTTCTCTTCATGGTCAGAGCATGACAAACACTTCACGTTTTTGAATTCTTTACCCTTTTTTTCTTTAACAAAATAAATATCTTAATAGAAAATTTTATTTCTTAGTTTCTGCCTGTTCTAATGAATGATGATTGTTTCAAATCATGAAAAAGTTTTGTGTTGCCTGACTTTTATGACGCTTATCTTCAGCACAGTTTGCAGTGCAGGCTGCAATATTAATATTATTATATATTTTTTCTCTTAGAAATGCACATTTGACAGTAGCTTGAGTTGACAGTAGTAGTAGCTTAAGTTAGGATGCAGGTACATTTATGTTCATTATCAAAAACAGCAACACCTGTAAAAAAAACAACCTCATTTTTATATGTTGAAATTTAATTAATCTGATGTTTGAGTTTTAAATAAAATTATCCACTGGTCTTCCATAGTAGCATACATTTAGATCATTCACAGTTAAAACCACACATATACCACCTCAATAATACCATGGTAAAAATGTAACTATATGGTTTGTAGTTATCTGAATGAAAAACAGTAGTCTAAATTTAGTATGAATGCACAAATGCTATAGCTTAATCAAAAAAAAAAATACTGTAATTATATTCCATTACTCCTTTAATATTTGTCTACGTTAATAATATAATAATAATATTTTATATGAATATTCCACATTTCTGCCACTACTACGGCCAGTTAGTGTTACTACAGTAAATCATGGTAAATGATGGCGATTTGTAGATTGAACTGTATCGTTGCGCACAGTGTTTCTCCTGTCTGTCAGTGCCGTTTCATCTGGTTTTAAAGGGGTCATAAACTGAGAAATCAAATTTCCCTTGAATCTTCTGAAATATAACAGGATACTATAAAATCATCCTGTAAGTTTCAAAACTTTCTCGTTAGTTTAAAAATGGCTTTTATTGAAACCAAGCTCAGAAACGACTCGTTTTGGAATGTGCCACTTTATGACGTAATAGTGTGGCTAAACACCGCCTCCGCAGAAGAAGATCAATGTCTGCGTCTACATCACTACCTCTTTAGCCCCACCCACTGATACATGCTTGTAGTAGTAGGAGAGGAAATACTAGAGAGATGCAAACACAGGATTACTCCATTAAAAAGGAACCATACAGTTGACATTACAAGATTACAAGACACTGTGTAGTGTAAGCTGTGAAAAATAGTCTTTGAATTGCCTTTCTTGTGATCCTAATACCATATCTACATCGGACGCAAGCGCTGTTGTGTCATGTCGCGAATCCATTTCTCTTTCAGGTCAGAAGCGGCACGAATGCTTGCATGTCAGAAATAGAGCGGGACATCAGTTTACTGTCAGAGATTTGTTGTGTCAATCCGTGCCACATCCAGTGTAGACAGAATCGTTGAATCAGAATCTCTCTGTTGTCTGGTGTAAACACCAGGTAAAGTTAGCAAAGAGCTCCAGATCACGTCAGTGAAACACTGTTTGTTTGTTTGTTTGTTTGCTTTACTTTGCAATGGATTCATTTTTAAACAAGACAGTATGATGAAGGCTTTTCAGAGAGACTGAAAGTAAATGGCAATGCAGTCTGAGTCTGACTTGAGTGGATCCAACAGTAATGTCGCACACAGAAATATGAGTAAACGTGCTTTTACCACTATTGCATTGTCTGTTCTAGACCGTTTGATATATACTGTGTATTTATATGTTTTTAACCCAAATGACCCATGTTGTTTTCAGAGTATGTCTCAGCAGCGTCCATCTGCTATTTTAATAAGTGAAACTGTTAGCCAAACATAGCAGTGGGCATTTACTTGCAAGTCTTGAATGCACCCCGCCTATAAAAACAGACCGTTCTGCAGAGAGGCTCAAAAACAGGATTGAAAATAGCCTATTACTTCTAAATTATGTTTTTTTTTTATGTAAAATCAAACTAACATTATAAGTGAACCTCAGAGAACATTATAAAATAAAATAAAAAAATGCAGTTCATGATCCCTTTAAAATAGTTTAAATCACTGAGTCATTTGTGTTTGCTGAATTCATGCGCTTCACACTGGATCTCACAGCGCTGTTTAGTGGTCGCGTGACCGAGACTTATCAGCGAGTGAACGCATCTGCTCTAGTGAGCTTGCACTGTGCCGCCGTTTGAACTTTGAGCCGAGTGGATAAATTATTAAATACCCTACCTTAAATATCTGTGAGTGTATACATCTTAATCATTATATTACAAAAAATATATATTTTTTTATAAATATGACCCCAAGCCTTCGGGTAATCACATTACATTTTGAAACCTAACCTTGCATTGTGCTAGAAAAGTCTAATTATCTGATTTTTTTTTTAAACAGACTAACTGAACTTGACACAGCATCATTAGGGATATACGGTGACCGAGAAGTGCAAAGCAAATCACAATTCTGAAAACAAAATAACAAATTACAAAGCAAATTTTGCACTTCTCGGCCTCCGTAGGGATATGATATATATGAAATATTTTTTATATGAAATTGAATTGTCGAATTGTAAAAAAAAAAAAGTCAAGGGGGATGGTGGGGCGGGGGGGTCCTGTGATTACGAATGATTAAAGGGGGCATATGACGTACGGTGTGCTCTGATTGGCCAGCTATCTAGTGCGTTGTGATTGGCCGAATTCCTCAAGCGTGTGACGGAAATGTTATGCCCCTTACGAGGTTCAGGAAACTTTTCTCCGTAAAATGCGCTGCACACACTCAAATATTTGTGTTGTACTGTTCTGGAACAGTTGTAAATAAAACTTAATCACTGATTTCTAGTTGTGTCCTCTTTTGGAAGACCAAACAAAGTAGTTTGGCACACAGCGTCTCCACGATATGGCGGCGGCAACAATAGGCTTGTTCGAGATGCATCAGCGCTGTGCAGACCGATCGGTGTATGACATCAAAGTCCCGCGAAAGCGATAGCAGAGCAGACGAGCCTGCTCTTGTGGTACTTTGATGTCATATGCCGATCGGTCTGCGCAGCGCCGATGCATCTCGAACAAGCTGAATACTACAGCGAGAATAAAAGTTACGCCTTCTTTCTTTGCGTATACATCTTTGCGACTTACCGGATCTTCTGTATGCAGAAACAGCTTTTAACACTCCAAAGACAAAGGAAAACATGAAATTGCATCATATGACCCCTTTAAAAAATGTTCTAATTTTTAAACACATTTTTATTTAACAAAAAATATGCTTTATTAAATGAACTATGGTTTATGAGCTGTTTTCCTTGGGGGCCTGAAATGGCCCCACAATGTCAAAAGTTGTACAATGTGTTACAATGTAGGTTAAACCAAAGCACACACACACACACACATGCATTTACACTATCTCTGTGTCTGTGTGCCAGATGACCTAAATGATGCCCTTTATTTTGGGGTGTGCGATATTGACAAAAATTATATAACATTTTTGGGGGAATTTTTGCCAATAATGATAGTTAATATTTTGCTGAGTGTGTATTTGTGCTGATTTAGGCTTGTCATGGATAAGTAAATATGACACTAAAACCGCCAGTAGGTGGCGGCAAGTGTCTGTTTTAATGAATGATTCATTGAATCCTTCAATCAAACGATTCTTTCAAAATGGCTGATTCAATTAGAATCTAAGCAAGTTGACTGTCTTTATGAATGGATCATTGAATAATTGGCTCACTTGATTTGGTTCAAAAACAGATTCATTCAGGAAAGATACACCACAGTGTTGCTCTGAGATGCACAACAGCTCAGCTCCAGCATTGTTTGGAACTATTTCATTTGCAAAACAGGAAAAAAGACAAAATGTGTCTAAAATGTAATTCAATTAACCACTTGTCTGTTGAACTGCTGTATAAAATTAATTTAACATTTGTGATCACTCACACATGCTGATTCTTGTGTGATATTAAAATAACTTACACAGGGATATTTTTTCTTTCATTATTTGAATTATAGAGTAGGGATGTTCATTTCGGTTATTTTTCCTAACCGACAACCGGCGCTTGTTAACCGATTATTAACCGTTAACCGACAAGATTATTTTAAATTAGAATTGAATTAAATTAGAAAGGATGAGTGTCTGTGACCCGTTAAAAATACTAACATTTGTTTTCCTAGGATTAATTTACATGCGCACAAAGCAGCAAACAACAGAACATGAGGATTCACATGGTCATCATATCACATCACGCACCTGCAGCGCTTCTGCGAGCGGAGAAAAACATAATAAAGCTAGTCTATATATAACGAATAAATAGGCCTATACGAGAAATATATTTTTACTTAAATAATAAATTAAGAAAATGAAAGAAAAACTGTGCAACAAGTAGCCTAGTATGCTGAGTTTTGTGCTGCGCGAAAGGAAACCAGACGGCAGAAAGCGACATCCTATTTTCTTTAGGCTTATTTTACAAAAGCACAAAGATTTGTTTTTATTGTGAATGTACACAAATAAAGGCAAACCTTTTACAATTCCAATTATCTTTGACTAAAAGGAGTAGCTAGTTGCTTCCACTGTTAGAAGGAAAAAATTCAAGTGATTGCGCCGGCGCCGCATGCGCGCACACTGTTAAGCATTGCTACCTTGACAATGCAGCCTGCTCATTATCATAATAAACAGTCAGTCAAACATATGGAAAAAAACACACACTGCTCAGTTTAAATAGCCTATGTAGTAAAATCTGTGCCGTTAAGTGTTATCACCGTACCGCCGTGATGTTATGCAAAACATTTTGTTTTACATGGATATTGTAACGCGAATGAAGTATGCTACATAATAAATAATAATTTGGCATTCAAATAAATCGCGAATATGGAAACATTTGATTTTGTGTCGAATGAGAGACCCAACGTTGGTTTCAGTTTTGTTTTAGCCTAAATTAATTCGTTTTGGTTTGTCGTCTATATTGCTATAGCTTCTTATGTTTAGTTCTTGTTCTTTTCTAAATACTGTTAATTGAAATGCTTTGTTGTGGAGTGAGGGGAACTAAAATAGCCTAGCTATGTTTACAGTGTTTATTACAATGTTTGTAAACATTTCGCGTCGGCATTAGGCCTATTTCTGAATGAAATAATAAAATGCGACTTATATGCAACTTATGGTTTTTTTTCTCTCTAAAAAACACAATTTTTTATAAACGTAGCGTATTTTAACCATGCAGCAAACCTTTTTAAATATTTTGATAAATTACTGGAAAAAAAAAAAAAAGACTTTTTAAACCGTTTAACTGATTGTATTAATCGGTCAAAATTTTTACGGTCAGTTAACGGTTAACCGGTTAAAATGAACATCCCTATTATAGAGGCATTCTAACTGCATTCTAATAGGCTTCATCATGCAATGAATGCTTTTGCACTCTCAAGACATGTTTTATTTTTGTTTTAATTTTTTGTTTATTTGCAAAGTCACTGACATACTTGATAATGACAGCTAATGTGAATTAGAACAGGGTGATCATTTCTGAATGGAACGCATCCCTCGTCTCTCTCTCAGTATCGTCCCTTGTCCTCACAGTCACACATAGTACAACAGCACAGTAATGTTAGGTCAGGGGAATGTCTTTAAACTCTAATCAAGGAAATATCATACCTTATTATGTTGTCTTGTTTTTAAAGAATGCCAGAAGTTGCGCTTAAAACATTTTGCACAAAAAATGATGAAACCATGCGTGAGCTTGCACGCAGCTCGTTAATACTGAGCTCTGATTGGCCAATTGCCGTTATTTAGTTTATGAATTATTATACGTAGAGAATATTAATATTTAATTTGCACTATACGTTTTAGGCCTACATAATAGGCCTAAATTAGGGCTTTCGCACCGGAGGAACCTTTCATAGTTCCTAGAACTATTGGCGGAAGTACTCGCTTTTTGAACTATAGGAACGGTTTTAGTTCTAGGAACTCCATTTGGAGAAACTAAATTAGCTCCTACTTCAGAGTAGGGTCGCTGTCGGCTGCTTCAAAGTTCCTGCTGCCGGTGCGAATGCAACTAGGAAAACGGCCCGAGGGAGAAATTGGTTCTCTAGGAACCACCCTGCTGGCTAGTTCCTAGAACTACGCGGTGCGAAAGCCCCTAATGTTAATCTAAAAGGGATGGTGGTTTTACAGAGGGGATGATTTTTGTCTTTTTTTTTTTCAACAAGGTGGACCTCAACAC